GTGTGGTGATTCCAGTGCGTAGTAATTCCACGCGTGGTGACTCCAGCGCGTAGTAATTCCACGTGTGGTGACTCCAGCGCGTACTAATACCAAGCGTGGTGACTCCAGCGCGTATTAATTCCACGCGTAGTAATTCCACGCGTGGTGACTCCAGCGCGTATTAATTCCACGCGTAGTAATTCCACGCGTGGTGACTCCAGCGCGTATTAATTCCACGCGTAGTAATTCCACGCGTGGTGACTCCAGCGCGTATTAATTCCACGCGTAGTAATTCCACGCGTGGTGACTCCAGCGCGTATTAATTCCACGCGTAGTAATTCCACGCGTGGTGACTCCAGCGCGTATTAATTCCACGCGTAGTAATTCCACGCGTGGTGACTCCAGCGCGTATTAATTCCACGCGTAGTAATTCCACGCGTGGTGACTCCAGCGCGTATTAATTCCACGCGTAGTAATTCCACGCGTGGTGACTCCAGCGCGTATTAATTCCACGCGTAGTAATTCCACGCGTGGTGACTCCAACGCGTAGTAATTTCACGCGTAGTAATTCCATGCGTGGTGACTCTAACGCGTAGTAATTCCACGCGTGGTAATTCCACGCGTAGTAAACCAACGCATAGTAACTCCACGCGTAGTAATTAGTGGGAAATCTTATTCAAAATCGCATCAGCTACCCCCCATTTCAGGGACCTACACTAATCGTGAGACACCTTGTAGATTTCGAGATATAAGGATTTAGAATTGTAGGAATACTTCTCCCAATAAAAACAAGTCTTACAAAAGTAAACTGCAAGGTATTGAGTTTCCTCGACGGATGTTTCCAACATCATTCTAGTGATCAATTCGATTCGATCCTCCGTCTTCTGGGTGATCAGCCATTGCAGAACCTCTTCCTCTACCGCCAAGTCACCTGTGTAAATAACACAGAGTGACAAAACAATGTACCTCTAATTTTATTTCTCAGAAAATTTCATTCTAATTATATCAAATTACCTTCGAACACGTTGGGTATTTGATTCTCAAAATACACCAGCACAGGGAATTCCGTAACCCCATAATCCTCTGCAACCTTGTAATCCTAAAACGAAATGCAAAATTAAAAATGCAAAACCAGAAATGCAAAATTAAATGCAAAACTAGAAATGCAAAACCAGATATGTAAAATTGCCCAATTAATAAATTAATTAGTTCACCTCACCTGTGTTTTAACAAAAGTGATACCATGTCTATCGCAGTCATCATCAATGTTCTCGAGTTCCTCCAAAATCCCCATGCATTGTTCACAGTCGACGGAATCTAAAGAGAAACTATATCGTTATAAAATTCACGACTATTTGCGGAAGAGAATGGTGGCGAGTTACAGATCGGGTTCAGTTGGACGATGATCTAAGAAAGCGTCGTACACGGGGTGACGAAACTAACTCCAGGGGTCTAAGATCTAACGAAAAAATACCGTTTCTGTACGCAAACAGTGATTGTACTCAATCTTTGGAAGTACTACGTCTATCCAAACGTGGACAAAACAAAAAGGCATGCTGAGCAGCAGGGTCTTCTAGGGACACTATGGCGGTCGCCTGGCTCTATGACTCTCTCTTGCATGCTCTCTAATCGTGCAGGTACTCCTGTGTGTGATAGTGTAATGTGTTAAAAAAATTCCGGAAAAATCTGCAAAATGGGGCATTGAAAAAAGTATCAAAGAAAAGATAAATATCTCAAAATATAAAAATTTTGAATTTCAAGTACAAATTCGGTACTTGGTGAAATATTCTATAAAAATTTGGTGAGATATCAAAAACTTAAATATACAAAAAGCACCCGATTTTCTGAAAACGCAAAGAAGCTGAAAAAGTATGTCCAAAAATAATGCATAAAATATAGTATATTATGTGAATGCTGGTGTTGAGGGTGCGCACACGGTGTATCTGGATGAACTATCTGGAACATAACGTTCTAGAGCAGAGATCGTTAAAGAAAAAATCGGGTCGGAAACTCAATCGTTTTCTGGTCTGTGTTCACGTGTACCATCGAGTTCTTCGGTTGCTTCGTGTTCGACGAGGATCCTGCGTTCCCTGTGGCGAGTCTGCTTGCGTTGATATTTTGCCTGACACAAGTCACAAAGCGTTCTGTTCCCTGCGGCATTAGCAGACAACGTGTACGGCGTATGGACGAGACACAAGATAGAACAGATAGAAAGATAGAGAGAAAAAGGCCAATAGCAACGATCATGAAGAAACGTATGTACAACGAGACACGGAAATGCTGGACAACTTACAGAATGATAAACCTGTAGTTAATCTTTGCGGCACATTAAGCGCAATTCTTGAAACAATACACGTTAACTATGTACATACAGTTGGGCGGTTGACATGAAATATCGCTTTATTTCTATTTGGGAAGTACTAGATTTGCAACTTTGTGAATTAGGGAGAAATTTTTGTTAGGAAATTTGTGGGATAGTTTGGAAATTTGGGAATTTAATTTACAAAGTTAAATATGGGGAATTTCCAATTTTCCAAATTTCCCAAATTCCACAGATTCCAGATTCCCAAGATTCCAAATTCCCCAGATTCCCAATTTTCAAATTTCCAACCCTTCAAATTTAATTTTGCAAATTGCCAAATTCTCCAAATTCCAAATTCTCAAATTTCCAACTCTCAAAATTTGGGTATTGAAAATTGCCAAATTCCCCAAATTCCAAATTCTCAAATTTCCAACCCTTCAAATTTAATTTTGCAAATTGCCAAATTCTCTAAATTCCAAATTCCCAAATTTTCAACTCTCAAAATTTGGGAACTCGAAATTGCCAAATTCCCCAAATTCTAAATTCTCAAATTTCCAACCCTTCAAATTTAATTTTACAAATTGCCAAATTCTCAAATTTCCAACCCTTCAAATTTAATTTTGCAAATTGCCAAATTCTCAAATTTCCAACCCTTCAAATTTAATTTTCCAAATTGCCAAATTCTCAAATTTCCAACCCTTCAAATTTAATTTTGCAAATTGCCAAATTCCCCAAATTCCAAATTTTCAAATTTCCAACCCTTCAAATTTAAATATTGCAAATTTTCAAATCTTGCAACTTTCACATTCCCAAACTTACATATCATTTTTCAACTCTTCAGCCTTCAAAATTTATAAATTTATAAATCTAGTAATTTTGAACATAAAACTTAAGAAGTTTGATGAACTAACAATGTCTATCAATCCATCCAAATTCAGATATATAAAAATTTAATAACCTTGAAAGTGCCATACTTCGTCGAAAGCACCCCTAGTCTACTATTAAAGTAGAAAACAATGATACAAAGTTATGAATGATACAAATTATCTTAAAAACGAAATTTCATGCGTACCAACCATTACTCTCGATAGCAGTACTCGATCAAATCGACGAGAGCACAAGTAGCATTGATTCAACGCCGTTGCTTCCAGAGCAGGAATTGATATACGCAGTCAAGTTGCTGGCTATGAGCTTCAGTTACTCTTTTCAGTAAAGTAACTGATGGTGACATGAAAACTTGTGGATGAGGTCAAAGATCGAAAGGGTTCGAACGAAAATATGAACGATTTACAATATGAACATTTACGTATTTACAAATATGATATGTGAGCAGTACGAAAATGATTCGTGGAGTATAATGAAAAATGATTAATAATTGATTGCCACGCAACAGGCTAGTGATACATTCCTGCTTGGCAGTTGGCCGTTGATGAAGCAATTCCAGACTTACAGAAGTACACCGCCAATGAGTCGGACTCTCTTATCAAATTCAGGAGATCCTCTCCCTCCAAATCCTCGATTACCTCACCGGAAGGATCCTTTTGCGTCATTAACCACTGGAGAATCTGCTCCTCGTCGTATAGGTCACCTGAAATTAGATAATTCGAAAGGACAGGTTTGATTTTTAGCTATGGGACAAGTTTGATTTAAGTCTGAGTTGGAGTCTGAGTTAGATCAAGGTTAAGTTTCACTTAGGTCTGGGATAAGTCTGACTTTTGTCATTAATTCTGATTTTACTCAGGTTTAGGTCTGGACCAGTTCTAATTTAGCTCAGATTTAGGTCTACAATATTTCTGATTTAGCACAGATTAGGTTTAGTTTAAAACTCAAATTCAGTATCCTTTCATCACACCATAAGAAGCTCCTATTACATTAAAAAGAGGTCTAAGTCGCATTCAAATCAGATTTTCATTAACCCACTCCCAAAGGGTGTCTTCAAACACTCCATCACATGGAGTTGAATGTTGAAATCAAGTTTAGGTTGAAATCACTCATTGTCTTCAAATCTAACCCCCTAAATTTATCTTTAGAGAGTGTCTTCCTAATCTACGACTGTGTTTAAATAAAGATTGCAAGTTAAACGTAAGAAGGTACCTGCATAAATGACTGGTTCTTTAGAGGACATCTTGAAGAACAAAATGGCGGGCAGAGCGAAGACACCATAGTGTTTGGCCAGCTGTTTATCGTCGATCTTCACGAACTTGATTCCAGCATTGTCAGCCTCGTCGTCGATGTGCTCGATCTCTGCCAGAACCCTGCCACACTGTTTGCAGTCGTTGCTGTCTAAACATACGCGCGCCACCGCGTTCGACACGCTTGAAAGTTTCATTTTTTTACTGAAACTGTTCCTATCCTAACACCACCCCTATACTTCACTTTTGTATATCAATGAGAATCATCAGGAAATTATAGTCTCCTAAATTATGATCTCCTCAGAGATTAATATTGATTGATCAAAAGTTGTAGAAAGGCTGTTCAAGTGTCACTTAGATAGTGCTTGAGATAGTACTTAAACATTAAAAATACAAATGTTAACTACAAAAATATGTGATAGAAATAATAATGTCTATTTCACCAATTATGTTAAATTCAACTACCCATCTAATTAGCAATAATAATGTCAACTTCATGAATTATATTAAATTCAACTACTCATCTAATAGCAATAGCAATGTCTACCTCAGCAATTATATCAAACCCTATTTATCCATTCAATAGCAATAATAATGTCAACTTCATCAATTATATCAAACCCAACTATTCATCTAATAGCAATAGTAATGTCTACCTCACCAATTATACCCAACCCAACTACCCATCTAATAGCAATAGTAATGTCTACCTCACCAATTATGTCAAACCCACCTACCCATCTAATAGCAAGAATAATGTCTACCTTACCAATTACACCAAATCCAACTACTCATCCAATAGCAATAATAATGTCCACCTCACCAATTATACCAAACCCAGCTATCTAACACGTCAAATTAATTTTACTACCCAAATTTCAACACCTGACCAACTGCCTCACACAACTAAAATATAACCAAATTCTTGAATCACAAATTAATTAACCCTGGATCAAATAGTGATTCAGAGCTAAATCCTCTGCATTAAGAATAAATAACAATGAGAAACAACGAGAAACAACGAGAATGCAAGTACTCACAGAAGAACACAGCCAAGTAATCCGTAGTCTGTCGTATCTTATGGAACATCTTCTTATTGATCCGCTCAATATGATCAGTCAGCTCCATGTTCTCAGGGTTGGTCAACCAATCGAGTATCTCTTCCTCATCATCGATATCTCCGTCATAGTTGATGTTCTTCCCTTTTCGGAAGTAGGTGATACCAGGTGGATTACGGAAACCGTACTTTTTGGCCATCAAACGATCCTTCATCCTGACAATCTTTATACCGTACTCAGCAGCCTCGTCGTCGATCAGCTCGACGTGCCTGAGCACTCGAGGACTCTCCGGATCCTCCTCCTTGTCTGAGGGATCGAGATTTCTCTTTTCGTTTAGACATGACCCGATAGAGATACCCTTGAGCGATCATTCTTTCTAGGTGGAGTTTATTGGGTGGTTGTTTGATGTTGATACGTTAGTGTAACTACGATTTGGGATGGGGGGAAGAGGTGATAGGGGTGATGTTAGGTGAGACGATGTGGGGTTTGAGAATTTGGGAATTTGGGGTGTGGGGATTTGGAGATGTAGAGATTTGGGGGTGTAGGGATTTGGGGGAGAAGGGATTTGGGGAATGTAGGGATTTGGGGGTGTAGGGATTGGGGGACGTAGGTATTTGGGGACGCAGGGATTTGGGGATACAAGGATTTGGGGACGTAGGGATTTGGGGAGGTGGAGATTTGGGGACGTAGGGATTTGGGGACGTAGGGATTTGGGGACGTAGGGATTTTGAAACGTAAGAATTCCGGGACGTAGTAATTCGGGAACGGTAGGGATTTGGGAACGTAGGGATTTGGGGACGTAGGGATTTGAGGATGTAGGGATTTTGAAACGTAAGAATTCCGGGACGTAGTAATTCGGGAACGTAGAGATTTGGGGACGTAGGGATTTGGGGACGTAGGGATTTGAAGATGATGGGATTTGGGAACGTAGGAATTTGGAGATGATGGGATTTGGGAACGTAGGAATTTGGAGATGATGGGATTTGGTAATGTAGAGAATTGGGAACGTAAGAATTTGGGGACGTAGGGATTTGGGGGAGCAGGGATTCAGAATTGTAGGAATTTTGGAACATAGAAATTCAGAATTTTAGGAATTGAAAAATTTAAACCTTGAAATCCAGAAAAATTCTAAGTTCCTAATATCTCATATCCTACTCTCTCTCTCCCTCACACACACATGGTTAATGCCAGACCTCATTTCGAGGTGCACCCATCCCTAGTTACCCATCCCTAATTGCACCAATGAGTCAAATACAAACAATACCCAAATACTTATTCAACCTCCCAAAAACAATGATCGACTCCATAAATTTTGAAATCTCCCAACAATCTTATTACATCCAACTCATATATGGACAATGAACGATATACAAGTAATCAATAAAATTAGAAACTTGATGAGACCAATTGTTAAAATTCCAAGTTATTTATCTCAAAAACGAAAAAATCAATATCTGAATATTTATAAATGATTCGAATATGAAAAAGAAAAATATAAGAAAATACACGAATAAATACTTGTCTGTCCAAGGGTTAAATGTTAATCTTTACTTACCCCTCAAACAAAAAAATCACAAATTGAAGTGAAGTAATAGCAACAATTTCGACAGAGAAAAGAATGATATCTTACAGAAAATGACAGCCAGGAATTCTTTCGTCTCGATATACTTGGTCAAGGTGTCACGATCGATCTCTTCGATACTCTCGTCCGTCTTCTGCTTCACCATCCAATCGAGAACTTCGCTCTCGTCGAGTAGATTACCTAAGTTAAACGTACCTCGAATATTTTTTCCTTGTTCTATTTGAACTATTATTTGAAAACTACTTGAAACTTTTGTTAAGAAGAAACATATATAAATTGATCTGTGTGCAAGGATCTTTGACTTCATCTGGAATGGCTATTCTTCGAGTTTAATAGAGTCTGGAGATTTCTGGATGCCTCAAACTTACCATGCTCTGCGACGGACTCAACGATGGAAATCGAAAGAAACGAGAAAGTGGATCGATTGCTTATTAATTCTAAGATACTGTGGTGATTTTTGTAATTTAATACAGGATGGATCAAATAAAATCGGTTCAAGTAAGAATTGACATACTAATTGCACCTGAAATTCATACTAATCATTTTTTAACAAAGGAGTTAATATAAAAATTAAAGTATTTATTGCACTAAAAGTAAGAATAGTAAAATTACTCTCTTTTCATTTTTATAGCAATCACCCTAAAAAAGGCAATTTTCAAAATAGTAAAAAATAAGTGATTCAATGTTCATTGAAAAAATTAATAATTTTGGAAAATGTTATTTGTTTCACCCTGTACATTAGTGAAGAATGTCTTTCCATGAAAAATGAGGTATTTAAAAAATGCGTCTCTAAGAAGCTTCTGTACAAACTCAGGAATCTATGCAGTAAATTAAATAACAAGGAATAATTTGTATTTTAAATAGTTCTCTTTTGTTTATCGAATGTTGTGCAAACTGTGGATAAACTACAGGAATCGTGGTCATTGACGTAGCTAGGTTTTCTGTCTCAGATAGATAATTGTAAGTTACTTCGCGTTATATTGCCGAAAGTAGTGTCGTCAGAATTTTGAAATAGTTATGTGTTGTATGGCCAATGTGTATTGCTATGTGTCGGTATTTCAATATTAAATGTCGAATTGATATTTCAAATTTTGTTATATTGTCACGCGTTATATTGCCATGTATTGGTATCTCGCGTTATATCGCTGCATATTGATATTTCTACGCGTCAGATATTTCACGCATTGGTATAGCAATGTATTAGATCTCTACGCGTTGATATTTCAAATTTTGTTATATTGTCACGCGTTATATCGCCATGTATTGGTATCTCGTGTTATATCACTGCATATTGATATTTCTACGCGTTAGATATTTCACGCATTGGTACAGCAACGTATTAGATCTCTACGCGTTGATATTTCAAATTTTGTTATATTGTCACGCGTTATATCGCCATGTATTGGTATCTCGCGTTATATCGCTGCATATTGATATTTCTACGCGTCAGATATTTCACGCATTGGTATAGCAATGTATTAGATCTCTACGCGTTGATATTTCAAATTTTGTTATATTGTCACGCGTTATATCGCCATGTATTGGTATCTCGCGTTATATCGCTGCATATTGATATTTCTACGCGTCAGATATTTCACGCATTGGTATAGCAATGTATTAGATCTCTACGCGTTGATATTTCAACACTAGTTAAATTGCAGCGCGTTATATCATAGCCACGCATTAAATTTTCACGCGTTGAAATCTCATCACGCTACATCTCCACACGTTGAAATTGCAACGCGTTGAAATTTCATCACGTTATATCTCCACGTGTTGAAATTGCAACGCGTTAAGTCACCGTGCATTAAATTCCTGTGCGTTAAATCCCCACGCGATAAATCACGGTGTAATGATTAAATCTATGTACATAGGTTAAATTTTAGGTCTCTACACGATAAATCCCCACACTATGTCACTCGTTAAACTTCTCTATACTGTATGATAACCTTTTAGATCGCCTCGCGTTATATCGCCATACTCAAAATATATGTTCCGTCTTCTAATATAAATTAAGTGAACCTAGTTACGTCAATGACAGGGTGGGAAAGGACTCTACGACTACCATTAGCGATAATGGGCAAAGCAAATACAAAAGGATACTAATTGGTACTAGGAAACATATTTATTATCGAGTTTTATTATCGTACATGTTGCTCTTATGCGAAATTAACGTGGATGCCGTGACACGGCTAAAAGTGCGCAAACGTTTAACGAGCAATTCGATAATCCATGCCCTGATAATCGTGATCACAGACGCAGAGCGATAATCAACTTTCAAATCTCCCGCCATATTTTCCTCCGTTTACATATCGTAAAGTATAGTTTTTACAAGATCGTATCGATTATCGCGTCCGGAGCTCGTAGGTTTGTACGGATTATCGGTATCCGATTGATTCGGTGTGAACGACAATGAAATACAGAAATCAGACAAGACATAAGACACTTGTATAAATAAATAAATAATAAATAAATAAGGTGAGCGTGTGTTTCGGTTTTTCCCTGTTGCATTTCATCGGATCCTGTTTTGTGGATCGTTCGAAATTGAAACAGGGGACAAAGAACAAGACTTCTCGATGTTCTTCGATTCTATATCTTTATTATATGTGTTCGTTTTTTTTTTTTTGGTTTTTATTTTTGTTTAGTGCTGGCTCGTGCGGCCCAGTAAGCAATCAAGCGATTAGTGATAGCTGGCGTGATAAGAAACGCACGTGTTCCTCGACGTTTTTGATGTTGAGGAATCGAAAGAGGGATGTTTATGTCTTTGCCACGATCGGGGTAGCACCAGGGAAAAACAGCTTCGTGTATCGATATGGATGTGCAATCGATTGCAATCATGGCTTCTTTTGGGAAAAATAATTGTTGGGGGAGCTCTTTGTTATTTGTGTGGCATATTTCTTACGTAAATTTTCAATTTCGCAATTTTCCAATTGTTCAATTGTTCAATTTTGCAATTTTTTAATTTTGAAAATTTCAATTCTACAATTTTTCAATTTTTCAATTGTTCAATTTCACAATTTTCTAATTTTGAAAATTTCAATTCTTCAATTTCGCAATGTTCTAATTTTGAAAATTTCAATTCTTCAATTTTTCAATTCTTCAAATTTTCAAATTTTCAAATTTTCAAATTTTCAATTTTTCAATTTTTCAATTTTTCAATTTTTCAATTCTTCAATTTTGCAATTTTTTAATTTTGAAAATTTCAATTCTTCAATTTTTCAATTCTTCAAATTTCCAATTTTTCAATTCTACAATTTTTTAATTCTTCAATTTTTCAATTCTACAATTTTGTAATTTTAAAAATGTTAATTCTTTAATTTTTCAATTCTTCAAGTTTTCGATGCTTCAATTTTTCAATTATTCTATTTTGCAGTTTCTCAATTTTTTGATTTCTCATTTACACAGTTATCAATTTTTCAATTTTCCACATTTTCAAATCTAGAAAAATTATAATAATTAAATAAAATCAACTGCCATGACTATAACAAGCTTCCTTCCCTTAAATTTCTTCTTCCCAAAGAAAGATATCATTGCACACGATTGCATGTCGTGTTTCGTGCCATGTTCGTGGAGAATGAATTACTCTACAATGTACAATCAAAATCGTGTTCTATGCAAATACCAAACTCATGATACCGATTTTAAAAATCCAATAAGTGTCACGCGAATGCAGAATCTGAAACGAAATAATTGAACTTAACTTCGAGTCGCTGGAATGGAATCGATGGAGAGTGAAGAGAAAAAAAAATTGAAAAAATAGTCGTTTATTCCAATCAATATACGGCCGTGATTCACCAAGTGTCTACAAACCTACTTACTGCTCGCGTCACACAAGATGGCTTGCGGGGCAGTACAGTAGCAAAATTCATGCGGATAAGTCATATGACCAAATGATGATGAAATGATAAAATCGTGTCTCTTCATACTAGTGAAAAATGGGCTACCCAGTTAAAAAAACCAGCGAGCTTATTTCCACAACTCTTCTTGTGTGACGCGAGCAGCGCATCGTTGTTGCATCCGACATAAACATACTCTGAGAGATCTGCAGATTGATCAAGGAATTATACAAACGAGAATCCGTTCGCTTTAATCCTGAAAGCGCGAGTAAATGTCCATGAGAAGAGGGGTCGTTAAAACAATGAATGAATCTTCCAGGATTAAAGCTGTCGAAAATAACAAAACATCATCGAAAGTATCCGTCGTTACAACCTATACCGCGAGATCTAAGTAGAACGTAGTAAAACGTTCGGCAATGACGAATAGCTACTCGTAGCTTCCTCTCGATCGTCGACGAGCTCGCGTCGTTCTCGCGACGGAAAGCTAAACCGATCAAATGCAATGGGGCCTATCGGTGTGTATCGAGTCGTCGCGACGATTGAACAATTAAAATAAAAAAGCCGACGAGATCGATCTTTTGGTCGTCGAGTGTCGACAATCGAACAGAACCGTACCCTGTTCAGCTTCTTTCTAGGCTCTCTGTTCGAAATGCATGTGGACCGACAATAAGCGTGTCACACGGACTGGCAAAGTCTTGTCCTTTTTCTCAGTTAATGACAAATAGTGTCACGATTGAAAGCAGATGTTCGAACCGTGACGCAAGACGGTGACATTGCGTTGCTTTTGGGTTCGGTGCGGGAGAGAGACTTTTTATCGCGATTGAGTGCTATAAATTTAATAATTGTGGATACAAGGACGTAAAGCGATGTAATTTTGGTCAAAAAGGCAGTTTTTTGGTGAAAAAGACGATTGGGGACTTTAACGTGCGTTAATTTTGACGTACGTTGATTTTGACGTGCGTTGATTTCGACGCACGTTAGTTCCGACGCACGCTAGTTTTGACGCACGTTAAATTTCGATGCACGTAACACTGACGCTTCCGAATTCTTGCGAGATCAAATTTTGACGAACACGTGTTTCCACACAAATAAATTTTAGTGCGTTTAGATCGCAACGCACGCTAATTTCAACGTGCATCAAGCTTGACGTACGTTAATCTTGACCCGCGTGAATTTCAATGCGCGGTAATTTTAACACGCACCAATTTCAACACGTTCGAATCTCAGTGCGAGTGAATTTCGACGAATCGTAACTTTGACGCTCGCTAATTTCGACGCGTAACAATATCAACGCGTCAATTTCTACGCGCGTTAATCTCAGCGTGCGTCAGTCTCGACGTGCGT